TTTTGTAAGCCGTCCAGAGACTTTCAGTATTGGACGGCTTATAAAAACTTTAAATAAATAAATAAATAAATAAAGTGGCAACAAGGGGAGAGGGCTTTCTTTGTGGTAGCTCCCATCTATGGAACAACCTCCCTTCTGCGGCTCAGCTGGTGCTGGATTTGTCATCTTTTCAGCACCAGGTTAACAGTTAAGATGGCCCTCTTCTCTGAAGCCTTTAAAGATTTACTAGGTGACTCTTGAGGGGGATAACCCAGTCCAGGTGTTTTGCAGAGCAAAGTTTGCTATGTGTATTTTAGGTGTTAAAAACCTTTTAGTGTTTTTACCAATTTTATGGCATTTTTCTGTATTTTAGTGTCTTTTTTGACTGTTATAAACTGTCCAGAAAGCTTCAGCTGTGGGGCAGTATAAAACTAGGAAAAAATAGAAAAGCAAAGCAAGACCAAATGGGTGCAATAGCAGTAGCGTTGCACTCTCACTGATCTGTTATGTCTACTCAACCCTTTACCCCAGCTACTTTCCTCCAGCTGAGCTCAATTTTGGCATTTGCCAAGCTGAAAGAAAATAGTTTGGAGAGACAGGCTGCCAGGGTTTGCACAACATGACAACTTGCTGCGATGTGGGATTGTCATTCCACAGAAACCCACCCAATGGCTGGATTCTGACAACATGATAACTCACACTCAAGTTGATTATGGATTGAGTGTGAGTTGTTGTTGAACCATGGGTAGTTATTGAAACATGGCTTATTGTGTTCTTGAACTCAGGTACACTGAAAGGTCAGGACTTGAACAACCTATGAAGAGAAGTCCTGGTTTATTGTTGAGTTGTAAACTGTGGGTTGTTTCCTACAATTTACAAACCATGTTTGTTATCTTGGTTGAGTTGAAGCAACATAACAGTCCATGTTCAGCAACAACCTACATTCAATTAATTTTAGTTTGTGAGTGTGGGTTACTGTATTGCCTGAACACAGAATCAGGCATTAAGCAACAGGCAGAACAGAAGCCTGCATTTCCCATGGATGTGCCCCATGGACCTCTCTAGGTACTTGGGAGAATATCGACATTGAAATGTTGGTTCAGTGATTAGAATATTTAATTTGGTCCATTTTTTCAAGTAATAAATAGTTTAGTGATTTAAAAATATTAATCATGTTTAATATAGTCATAGCTGAAGCACCCTGAGTTACATACTGGCATATTTCAGCAAGATTACTTCCTAATATTATGGAAGTAATGGAAGTCAGCATTTTCTTCTCAGACTTTGATGTGCACACATCTTTCAAACAATGGATACTTTTATCTACATGGCCATCTATAAAGATTCAGGATAAAAGGATACCAACTGCCACCTACAGTTTCTGGAGTTTTACTATAGCCCTAATGTATGCTATTATCAATAGAAACCATATATTCAAGGAATTGATCTGGATGGCAGCCTACATTAAAGGAATGGAACAATAGAAAGTCAGTATGAAAAGGCCCACTTTTCATTTGGGAGTTCTTGAAGTTGAGTTGTTGAAGTCAAGGAGGCATGGACTTGATCAGTGCTTAGATAGAAGATTACTGGAAGACCCGTAGTAGCTGCTCTGGAAGAACTACAAAAGATAAGTAAGAACTAGATATGTTAGCATGACACCTGTTCAGGAACTGAATAAGAGGAAGTAACAGTTTCTCTCCCACGAATCGGTATATACTCTAAGAACTATCTGTGCTTCCTCAGAAACTATCTGTGTTTTCAAAAGACTTTGAGGTCAAATAGTAGTACATGACTGTTCTAATTTATCAGGAGCCATTCCTGCTTTCATGTGACTTTAAGATATGAGTATGCGAAAATCAACCACAGTTATGTATGACTTATATTCAACCTGTGGCATAACATTTAGGAAAACAGATCCAACCAACTGACCCATCCCTAGTAGGTGCCTACAAAAGTTCAGTTCACATGAAATTTCCTCATGCCATCAGTAGAAAATATTGGTTCTAGTCACACAAATAGAAATAAAATAGTAATACTTTAATATTTGGAGGATACAATGTGGGTACATACGTTCACTCTTAGTTCAGCTACAATTTTGGCTTACATGAGGGAAAGCATTAATAAAGGAAAGAATTACCTCAACAAATAGACTAAGTTCAAAAGCACTACTTTTTTATCTCAAGTGAGAAAAGTGACCTTTATCTTGACAACATAATCACAGATTCCTTGACATGATTACTTATAGTTTACATATCTGATCTTTCTCAAAGTTATCAAAATTTCCCTTTCCTTTCTCTCAGCACACAATGCCAAATATGTAGAATCAACAGGGGCTAATCCCTTCAAATGCTTTGAGTTCTGCTGAAATCAGTGGAGTTACACTTGCCCACAGGCAGCTAGCTTAACAAATTTGCCCTTTCAAAACTTGAAGGAATGTGTGTTTAGCACGTATATACACATGGAGTACTGATTCTTACACCACTGCAGAAAACATAATCTACATAATCCATGATTATATAGATTGCCTTTACAATCTCCAATGTACTTCACTGATCCCAGACTTCATATTTGCTTCCCCACACTGCCTTCAGCTTCTGCCATGAAGTACTCACCATTACACCACAGAAACTAATACTGCATTTATCTTACAGACTACTTTCACTGCTTTAATCGTTAAATAAGCTAAATTACAACTGATTTGTAAATTACATCTGACAACTGATCCAACATTAGGTAAAGCATGTTTGCCTCACCTTCCATTTGTTATATTGTAACAGGCATTTGGAAAATAACTTTCTTTATAAGAATTAAATTGATAATCAACTGAACTAATACTGTGGTCACACATCAGAGCAGGGAGAAAAAACATGAACCAAGTTTTTAATGCTGCAGTGTCTGGTGATCAGCTGTTGTACTTTAAATGCAACACCAACAGTTTGAAATTGCCAAATTGTTGTGGAAATATCCTATTAAAAAGGAGACACAAAATGCATGGAAACTTCTTCTCTAAACAATTTTAATATACATTTGCAAAACATAGTGTGCAGGTAAACAGCATAACTAGTATGTGTGATTAAACCTCTTGACACATTTGGATTAGATATGTTTTGCTATTCATGTAAGTACTGTAAACACACATTTTATAGCGTGATACTTTGTCAGCATGACTGTACTGTGTTTATAGTTAATGTTGTCACACTAAAAAGTAACAGCATTTAAAAATAGTTTACCGTCTATAATTTACTCTTATCTTGGTACACTTGCATTAAGTAGAGCTTTGTCTGAGTTTAAGAAGAGACATCACTGCAACTACAAAGGTCAAGTTAATTTCCTGAAAACCATTTCGCTATTTAGAAATGACAAATGAAATGTTTTCAAAAACACCATAGCCAACCTTCAGAAAGTGGAAACACATTCTAATTTTATTATATCTCTTTTTGGAATCTTCACTGCAGTTGTGCTGTCATGCACACCATCCTTCCAAAATCCTTCCACAGTTTTGAGCCAGCAGCTATTCAGTTCCAACTGGAAAGTTTCAGGAGCACACGTGTTCCACTCCAAGGACACAGACCTACATGCTAACCCGTAGCTTTGTCCTTGATAAAGAAGCTGGAAAGGCTCACCATCAACGAACTATTTCTAGCAGAGGAGCACTGCTACTGCATTCCCTCACAAAGTCTGTTCTTAACTTGTGTAAACTAACTTATGCATTCTCTGGGAAGCAATGGAGCACCGAGTCCTTATCTGTCTCCACAGTACTTCAAGTCCTGGGCAAATAACAGATAACAAGAAAAATAACTAGAGTTACTGATCCTCACATCCTCAGGGGCTGAATTACTTGCTTTAATTGAACATACCAGGAATCACCTTTCTACAGCAAAGCCACTACATTTACCAGGAATCATTACACTTTTTACCTAAATTTGGGCTCATCACCTCATACAAAACGAAAACAACTACCTAAGTCATGTTGTATGCTAACGCACAGCTGTTAGTCTGTTCTATTTTAATTCATCTAGAAAACACTCAAAATTTATGGTGGATTAGAAGTCTGCGCTCCCCGCCTATGCTGAATGCAGCCTTTTATCACTCTTTGATCACCCTGCTTTTGACAGGGTGGTTAAACACTATTAAGGGGCACTTAATCCACGTCAAGTGATCGTGTCACATGGTGCCTGGGGAGACAAGGCAAAACGAAACCACCTCGATCCGTGGCAGGACAGGAACAGGGACACGGCTGCCTTACCTTCGCCTCCCCCAGATCGGGCTCCTCCTCATAGTAGCCCTGCCCGGATTCATAGGCAGCGGCTGTTGCAGGCTCACGAGCTCCCAGCAGCACCACCGCAGCAGCAGCCAGATAGCAACCCAGAGAGAATAATCCCAGCAAGTGCATTGTGCAAAGGGCGGCAGGGAGCGACCGCGGGGTGGGGAGGTGGAAGCCCTGAAGACAGCGCGCGAGCAACGCGGTGCGGCTCCCCGTTCGAGTCCCTCTCTCTTGGCAGCACTGAAGCACCAACTTCTCCGGGATGGAGAAAAGGAAGGTGCAGCGATTCCCCTCCCCTCCTCTCCACTGGCCCCGGCGCTTGCTTGCTAGTGGGCTGGTAGCAGTCCTCCTTCTCCCGAAGCTCCGTGGGGTCCGTCAGGTTAAAAAGAAAGAGGGCACCAGGAAACCGGACATCCGAACCGGGCTCCCCCAGGAGCAAAGGGGGGTCGAAGCAACTCCCGAGCCAATTGGAGGAGCGTGGAGGGAGAGGTTTCCTCTTCAGTACCAGCTCCCGCAGGGGGCTATATGCCAAGGATGCACGAAGCTGGTGCGGGGCAGTAGGGTGGCTCGGTCTCCTCCTCGCTTCTCCGGCTGTCTGTCAGTGGCAGCGGCAACAGCAGGGGCCAGGGAACCGGAGCCTCTCCAGCGCGTGGAGCTGAGTACGAGCACCGGAGGCAGCAGCAGCAGCAGCAACTGCAGGGGGCGGGCATGGCTAAAGCGCCCTCTGCCTGTACCTCGGAGAGACTGAGTGGCTGGCCCGGGAAGGAAAGGGAGGGGAAGGGAGGAAAGGACGGAAGGCGCCCGGGTCGTGTGTCGCTCCCTTTCCCCCACCGCCGCCTTTCCTTCCTCAGAACTCTCCTCCCTCCCTCCCTCCTGTAGCACTTTTCCACAAGTAGCCACTCGCCTTGCAAAAACCCTTTCCAAGGAGACGTGGAAATGTGAGAGGGGAGGCGCGCAGGCGCGCGCGCGCGCTTCTGCCACCGCCGCCGCCGAGGAAAGCCGACCGGAAAGCCGGAGCCACGCGCTGCTCGGGTGCGCGCGCTTCGCTCCGGCGGCTGCACCTCACACCGCGCCGTCAGGAAGTGAGAGACCTGCTGCCTCGCTCGCTTCCCGCGCTTTCGCGCACGAACCTGCCGGCCACGCAGGGCTGGTTCCAGGCTAGCCGAGGGGGGGACGGCTGGGGGCGGCCTCAGCAACGTGCCTTGGAGCTTTTCCGCGTCCTCCCGCCCGTATATTCCTCCCCGCTGAGAAAGAAGCCGCCACTGGGCAGAGAGCGGTACCCGATGCCGTGCACTCTTCTTCCTCCGGGCGGAATGGCGCTGCTTGAAGAAGAGGAGAAAGAGCTGCCACTTCCTGCCGCACCGAGAAAGTGCGCACCTGGGGCACGGGCCATTGGTCACGATGGACCCGTTTGATTTATTTATTTATTACGTTCCTATATTGCCCAAAGCTTCCTGGGCCGGTCGGAGCAATTAACGTGCACATTACCGTTAGGAATATGCGCCAGAGGGCTGTTGCCCTTGTGTCCTGCTTATGGTCACCTGGTTGGTCACCGTGGGAAACAAGGTGCTGGCCTTTCATCTGGTCCGACAGGGCAAATTTAATGGTCCCAAGAGGACCGGGCAGCTCTTCATGCAGAGGGCAGCCTCCTCATTTTGTACATTCATTTGTATTCTCCCTTATGGCACAGCATGAGAATTGGTGCAAGAAGTCTGGTCTACCTTACTGTGCTACTAGGGAGAAGCCATATAACAGCCATGCAGCTTGTCCAGGTGTTGGCTGTGTCGGCCAAGGCTAATAGCTGGTGTGGGCCAAAGCATCTGCAGTCTCTCTGCACTAATCGCAGACGCTCAGATACATCAGCCAGATTTAATTTGGCTTCTGTCCTTTTTTCTCTTCTAAGCTGAGTATTATAATAAACCTTTAAAATAGTTCAGAATCTGTAGCTGGTACAAAGTTAGTTTCATCAATTTTTGTTGAATTTTATTCCAAGTTCAGTCTAGGCTTGGCATATCTTAGAAACCATCAGCTCCAATGAGCACATCTCCATTATTTAATATGGGGATGGGGATATTCTTCAGGCAGAGTTCTATCCTCTTATGAGATAATGAGAATTTGGGGCTGAGCTTTCTTAGAAATGGCACCATAGCTGGAATAGTATCCCAAAAGTCCTGCTATGCAGCACATACAGCACAATCTTGTACCTGCTAGTCAGAGTTTAGCTTCAGGTAACTGCATTGGATTGGAGCTTTAGTAAGCCAGAATAATATATTTCTAGATAATTTTTATTGTAATATACTTTTTTAGTGTTGTAGGTTTGAGTATTTTGGGATTTACTGTAGTATGCAATACACTTTACATTTTCTTTATAGTATTTTATTGCTTCAGGCCTTTTTAATCTGCTAGGTCAATAGGTCTAGTTAATTAGTAGCAAAAATGGATAGTAGAAATTGATTTGCCACTTATTATCATTACATTACATTTATATCCTGTATTTTTTCCTCCAGTGAGCAACCCTAGGTGGCTTACATAACTATTTTAGCTTCACGACAACAACTCTGTGAGGTAGGTTGGGTTGTGAGGGAGTGACTGGCCCAGAGTCACCCAGTTGGCTCCATGGCTTAATGGGGACCGGAACCCAGATCTCCTGAGTCCCACACTCTTCACCAGTATACCACACTGGTTCTATACACATAGCACACTCTTGTAGTAGTTATAGAAACTACCTCAAACCAAAGTTCATTGCACTGATTGTACAGAGACTTTTCAGTCCCAAAAAACCAGAAAATGTGATTGTATACCTGTTTCCTCCTCACTATAAACCACTTCATAGAATATGATACATTTTAGAACTCAGATCTCCCAGGTCTCTAGTCCAACACTTTAACTACACCAGTTGTCAACAGTGGAAGTAGGAAGAGCTCTGTCAGCCAGCCAGTTGCACTTCTAATCCGTCACCATGATTCCCTGCAAGGAGGAAAACATATAGTTGTGAGCCGCCCCAAGGCTTTGTTGCGATGGGGCAGCATAGAAATGTTTTAAATAAATAAATAAATAGTTACAGTTGAAAAGATCAGTGGGAGCTCCATACATAACTCTAACTCCTGAGACTCTTGGATGAAACGGACCCTTTTGATCTATTTCAGTCGGGATTCAGACCTGGATTTGGAATGGAAACTGCCTTGTTTGCCTTATGGGATAACGTATGCTGGGAGAGAGATGGGGAGTGTGACCCTGTTAGAGCTGGACCTCCTAGAGCAGCTTTTGGTACCATTGACCATGGTATCCTTCTGGACAGGCTAGTAGAGTTGGATGTAGGGACTGGCCTGCTCCTGGACTGGCCATGTCCAGAACGTGGTGCTGGGAGATTATTGCTCTTCAGGGCTCTATTTTATCCCCCATGCTTTTTAACATCTACCTGAAACGGATGAGGTCTAATAAACTGAAACTTAATCAAGATAAGACAGAGATACTGTTGGTGGGCAGCCCATCTGTTCAGATGGGTAACATCTTGCCTGTTCTGGATGGGGTTGCACTCCCCCTAAAGGACAGGGTTCACAGCTTGGGGGTGCTTCTGGACCCTGAATTATCCCTGGAATTCCAGGTAGATTTGGTGGCCAGGAGCACCTTCTGTCAGCTTAAGCTGATATACTAGCTGTATCATATCTGGACAGACAGAACCTGGCAACGGTTATCCATGCACTGGTAAATTCTCTGGATTATTCCAACACACTCTACATGAGGCTTCCCTTGAAGATGGTCTGGAAACTTCAATTGGTCCAGAATAGGGCAACCAGATTGTTCATGAGGATTGGCAAATACGATCATATAAAGCCAGTCCTCTACCATTTTCACTGGCTCCCAGTTGACCCAGTGGGCCCAATTCAAGGTGTTAACAGTGATGTTTAAAGCCTTGAATGGCTTGGCACCATAGTATCTAAAGGAGCACTTCTTGCGGTACGAACCTACCTGGCACTTCAGATCTGCATCTGAGGTCCTTCTGAAGGAACCCCCTGCTCAGGAAATAAGGGTCTTTTCTGCCGTGGCACCCCAACTTTGGAATGAGTTCCTAGATGGGTTTGCTTGGTACCTTCCTTACAGTATTTCAGGTGCCAGGCAAAAACCTTTTTATTTCAACAGAATTTTAATTGTTAACTTGTTTTAAGTAGCATTTTAACTGTGTATATGCCATTATTATGGCACATCTTATATTGGTTTTAATGTTTTTTATTTGTAATTACTGTTTTATACTGTACTTTAATCTCTATCCTTTTTTTTTTTTTTTTTGTTTTTTTCTGTAACCTGCCCAGGGAGACATATGGCAAATGGGATTGGTTATAAATTAATTAATAATCAAATAAATAATACACATCCTTCCAAACCTAGACCCTGATGTGGTGAATGCATGCAGGCAAAGATACCCCCTTTTATATAGTGCAGCAGCATATGCAGAAAGTGTGACCAAAAAGATACTTGAGCTAAAGGCAAAAGCATAATAAGTTAGTTCATGATTGCAGTTGAACAAGGTTCACAAGGCCACTGCCAGGCCTATATAAGCTTATTTTAAGAAGATAAGTGAAGTACAACAATACACAGGCTCAGGTGGCTAAAATCCAAATAAGCATATTTCTTAAAAGCATTGTATATGCTCCGATAGCTACACTTGCTGTGAGCAAGTCTTAAGTAGAACAATTTCAAGAGTTCTCTCAATGGAATTTTTAAGTACTGCTTCTAAAATTCAAGCCTTTTAAAGTTAGTGTTGTACTGTAAAAGGTACATCTGTCAAGCACACTCCTCTCAACTGTCTAGACATACCTGATATGGCCATGTTTTGTACAAATGCATAGAGACAGAAAACGGTTGTTGAAACACAGGGCCATTTCAGAAGCAGGATATATCAATGATAGGAAATGTCAGATGGCCAAAGAAATAAGGAAACATGAGCTGAAAGGGCAAGGGTGGGATGTGAGGAAACATATCAACCTGAGTAATGGCACAATTATTACTGTTCTTTTTTTATTTCCTGTTGCAAAACACATGAGACTAAGAGCAGAAAAGCATGAGGCTCTTAGAAGAATGTCAGCTGGTGTTATTTTACTTTTGTTACATGTTAAAGAATGCTAGTCTAATTTAAGTATCATAAAGATAATATATGAATCCTAGTCCAGAGACAAGTTTGCTTACACTGCACCTCTACTCCTAGGACATTCTAGTGCTTGCCTGAACAGTCAAAGAAACGCTTGAAGTTGTCTCCAGTGTAGGAAATACTGTAAGGGTTGTTCTAGATACAAGTGTCTGTGAATACAATATGCATTGATTTATAATATCTAATCTCCCAAATTACTCATCAAGCAGATTGCAAGCTAATCCAAATGACACAATGTCAACATCTACGGCAGCCTTCCCTAACTTTGAATTGGACTACAACTCCCATCACCTCATACCAGCTTGGCTATTTGGCCATCTGGAGATGGTGAATATTGTAGCCCCACACACATAAAGTGCTCTAGGTTGGAAAAGTCTGAGTTATGGCAAGCATCTGATCTCTGGTAATTTCTTTCTCCCTTACCCCAGTGTTAATAATTATTCTTTGGCGTAATCCTAGTTCTGTCCTGCCAAATGGAAATATCCTTTTGAATGTACCTGCAGGAGTCTTTTCTTGACATTTACTTCACAGACTGCTTAAGTGGGAAGCAGGGAAGCATTTTGAAAACAACCATAGATTTTCACCCCTAATATGTTTTGTATTCAGCTTTTTTCCTAGGTGAAAACTTTAAAGCAGGAATGGGCAACATGCAGTTCCTGAGATAATTTTATGTGAGTTACAGTTCCTTGGTAGAATTCCAGCTTTTTCTTTTTGAGAAGTATTTTAGCCTTCAGGATTCAGAAACTTGAAAAAGGTGATGTTAACCATTACTATAGGATCTTAGGGTGAGACACAGAGAAGGCCAGGTGATTCCCCTT